AGGCGCCCCTTTGTTCTAGTATTTTTTTTTACCACTGTTGTGATACCATATTGTGTTATTCCAGCACTTGGAAGGATTAACAGAGAAGATAAAATCAGAATTTAGATCTAGAGTCCTATTCCTGACTTACAACTAGAGTCATTTTCACCATACAGTCTGCACAAGGCCTTCTGTTTATACTAACACTTTCTGGAATGCCAAAATACTCATCTGTAGCAAAGGAAGACATTCATATACTTAAAGGCTACCAATGCCTTTGCTAATTTTCTATTACCAAATCACCGTGGTTCGTCAATGTCCTATCTTGGCTCAATCCTGTGTCCTATAACAGCTCTTGTCTAATTTAATACCTTACTAGTTTGGTCATTCTTCGTCTGGCCCAACTACTGCCACCCCAGAATTGAGGCTGGGAGGGAACGGCATGATCGAAATGTGAAGGTACAATGTATGGTCAACACACTGACTGTAATCCTGTTGAAGGTGAAGACACTCATTCCCAGGGATGCTAAATACCTTGTGCAAGCAACTTGCCCAAGAGGCCAAAGATCTAGTGTGTTGACAAGCAGCAGTGCCAGGTGAGCCCCAGCTTCAACCAAATTCTTCTTATAGGAGACATGGATAGTGACCCAAGAGCTGTCTCTGACCAGCTCTACCATTTTCTTTTGAATCATTTGAACTTTATGGGCCTTAGCTCTTTCATCAGGAAACTGGGCTACATGACATTGTTGAATTTTTTATTATATTTTAAATTATTGTACATTTTATCATTATATTTATCACATATTTTCATCTATCCTACACACCTAAATTTTTTGAAAAACCTTGTTATTCTGTGGCTCTTTAAGGCATTTAAAATACAGCAGCTGGTTATTGAATCTCCCAAATATAAAGGAAGCATGTTTGAAAACCCCCTTCCTATATCTAGTCAAGACCCCATAGACCACACCTCAATCAAAGCGCTGGGCATGACTGATTGGGTAATTAAGAAGGATGAAATATGTGATTCTAACCTTGAATCAAGGAACACTGACTCAGAGCGTAATACATAAACAAAATTATCAAGGGGAAAATCTGTAAGAGACATTCCTCATTCTGAGCTAATATCATGAGCCATGCAGGGAAGAACTGAGACACAGAGGCAAAAGGAGAAACACAAAGATTTTACAGCTCTATCTGAAAAGGAAAGCTTTATGGAGTAAATTAAGAAAGGCATACCATATGCATTCCTATGGACCATATGGAATTAAGTGGTGGACTTAACGCCCCTCCATGTCCAAAATCCAAAGGAATAAATAATTAAGGCCTATGAACATAAAGACTAGTGACTGCATTGTTGGTATGTAACTTTGCTTGAAGCAGGTTACGCATATGAAGAATCAAAGAGAGAACACGAATAACTATGTTTTCTTCTTCCTTCTTATATATTACTAATTGAAGACCAAGAATCTGTTATGACATCCTTAAAACATCTTTCTCACTGCCTAACACTCAGGCTTTATCAGAACAAAGTCAGTCAGATGGCGTGTTACCCAGCCTCCAAGATGGCTACTAAGGATTCCTGCCATCTGGTATTGACAACCTTGTGCAGTCTGATCCCACATCGTACAAGGGTTGGTCTGTGTGACTAGCAGCATCTGGCAGAAGAGATGGTAAGATGGTGTATCACTGCTGAAATTAGGTCACAAAAAAGACCGCTACTTCTGTCTTGGGCTGGCTGTCTTGTATGCATGTTCTTCTCACTCCCTTCTCCCTTCCCTCTCTGGAAAGCAAGCTGCCATGTTGTGAGCAACCCAATGGCATAGAACTGATGCTTCCAATCACTAACCACTGAGAAATAATAGCCAGTGAGACCACCCGGCAACCACATGAATAATCTTTTTTTTTTTTTTTTAAAGATTTTATTTATTTATTTGACAGAGAGACACAGTGAGAGAGGGAACACAAGCAGGGGGAGTGGGAGAGAGAGAAGCAGGCTTCCCGCCAAGCAGGGAGCCCATGCGGGGCTCGATCCCAGGACCCTGGGATCATGACCTGAGCCGAAGGCAGACGCTTAACGACTGAGCCACCCAGGTGCCCCACCACATGAATAATCTTAGAAGAGAATTCTGTAGCCCCAGTGGAGCCTCAAAATGACTGAAAAACCCAGCTACATTATAACCTCATGAGAAACCCTGAGCCAGGATCACCTAGTTAATCGACTTCTGTATTCCTTACCTGGAGAAAGTGTTTGAGATAAAAATTGTTTGCTGTTTCAAACTGCTAAAATTTAGTATAATTTATTCCACAACAATAGATAACTAATGCAGATGGCAAGATCTGGGATATAAAATATTCTGTTTAAAAGCTGCCCAATCAAATACTCTATATTTTAGTGTTCTCAGGAATTAGGCAGGCAAACCAATTTAAAGTTTTATATAATCAGGAGTGCCTGGGTGGCACAGTTGGTTAAGCATCTGACTTAAGCTGAGGTCATGATCTTAGGGTCCTGGGATCGAGCCCTGTGGGGAGTCTGCTTGTTCCTTTATCTCTCCCTCTGCCCCTCCCACTGCTCATGCTGGTGCGTGCTCTCTAAGTAAAATCTTAAAAATAAAAAAATTAAAAAATAAAGTTTTATATAATCATGCAAGCTTGAGTTTTTCCTATAAGTCAAAGACATATCTACTAGGGAAAAACTGTGTGAATAAATGTTGGCTACAAAACCCACTTTATAATTTTAACAAACTTAAGCATTTTAAATTCCTTCTTTATTTTACTTTCTTCACTAGAGCCGTTTCAGCTTCATTGAAAACCCAGATCAGGTAGGAGAAAAAAAAAAAAAGTATTTGAAAGCAGAGATAACCTTCTTTCATTTGTAAAAGAGCAGCTTAAAGACTACTTAAATTGGAGATAATGGCTTATACGAATTGTGCAAGATGCTACATTAAATTGTTGTCATTAGTACCATTATTAAAACTGTAGCTAAACACCATGTGCTATATAGGGCACATTAGCTATATAAAAGACATCACTGGTGCCCTCTGAGAACAGATCAGAAAAGTTCAAAGCTGTGAGTTCCCATCAATACTTGAAAAAACTGGATTGCACTATATCAAGTTATAACTACGCAATGTAGGAATTATGAGATGAGCTAATCTTACTTTAAAAATTAAGCCTTAACAAATAAAAATTAGTTTTGAGGTTAAAAAAATTGAAAAAGTTATAAGAGAAAATTCATCAAATAGTAGTTAACTCAAAATTTTCCTTTATCCTTGACCTCATTTCACTCAACTTAGACATTAAGGAGCTGGCTTCCCCTCATTTCCTGTTGTTTCCCCATCCTGGTAGGAATTATTGGATTGACACTTCCAGTTTTGGCAAGCCAGCAGCATTTAAGAGCGGGGGAGAGGGCGCCTGGGTGGCTCAGTTGGTTAAGCGACTGCCTTCGGCTCAGGTCATGATCCTGGAGTCCCGGGATCAAGTCCCACATCGGGCTCCCTACTTGGCGGGGAGTCTGCTTCTCCCTCTGACCCTCCTCCCTCTCCTGCTCTCTGTCTCTCATTCTCTCTCTCTCAAATAAATAAATAAAATCTTAAAAAAAAAAAAAAAAAAAAAGAGCGGGGGAGAAAAGTCACATCTGGCCAGATCTTCAACTTGTTTCTAGGTCTGCTTGTTTCTACCTCTCCTGCTGTTTCTTCTCTTCCGAAAATATGATTAATATCTATGAATTTGTAAAACTCTGCATTGTAAGCAAGGCTGAAGGCTTTCCATCCCAAAGAGGTTGAGGTATGAAGTTAATGAGAAGTGAGACTGTGGGGAATGAACAGAAAGATGCCAATGTTAAAGTAATTGAGCATGAATATCAAACACTGACTTGGGAACAGTCTTCATTTGCTGATAGAGAATCTCATCAGCTGGTGGGCAGAGGGAACATGCCCAGATCTGCATTCACTGCCAGCCCTAGAATTTCCAAATCATAACAGCCTATGCATTATAAACTTGGTATCTGTTTCCCCATCTAGAATGTTTTCCTTTCCCCCCCCTTTTTTCCTTCCTTCCCTCCCTCTCTCCTTCTTTCTTTCCTTCCTATGAAAGGTTGCCTCCCCTTCTTCTTTCTGAATTTACCTCACTCATCTGACGCCTTATAAAGAATTTAAATTTTTATCTCAGTAACTGCTGTTTCTTTCACAATTGTGTGTTATTTGCTAATACCAATTCAGAATAACAGATGATGGTGTTGTGGCTGGAAGAATTGCTGAGCTCTAATTTTTATTTTAAAAACTCTGCATTGCCCTCTAAAACCAGTGCAAGCTTAAATTATTTATTACTGTAATACATTCCTATGTGTCTTCTATCATTCTCAATTAGATCATCTATACATTCTTCATTGTGGCAAGGATCTCCAGAAGGTTTGCATAATAGTGATAAAATGAACACCTTAATAAGCTGTGTGTCATTATTAATTTCAAGTTGTAATGAATAGTTTTATTCAGTACAGAGTAATAACAGTTTCGAGAAAACTAAAATTAAAGAAAAAAAACTGTGGTTCTCAAATTCTGAGGACACATAATTATGCATTTTTATAAATATTCATTTACAAGGCTGTTTTTACTAGTTTACAATGTAAAAAATAGACAAAACAAATATAAGTCAATTGGGAACTGGTTAAATTAAATACAGTATATTCATTAAAGGAAATTAAAAATGACTTGAAAAATATATATTAACTAATGAGGTTGTAGGCAGTAATAGTATATATTAAATGAGCCTATATAAACTCATTTAAAGTATATATGCATGAAGGACTAAGCATTAATGAATATCTGATGGTGAAGAATTACTAAGACTGTGTTTCCACTTGTCATTTTCCAAATCTCTATTTGAATGTGTATTACAATTGCTATAGTTTTTTTAATAACCAAACATAGAGTCTCTAAATCCCTACACATACGCCAAGGAAGCCAGAACTAACATAAGAAAGGCAATCATATGTGATCTTAAATATAAAAGTGTTTGTAGTTTACCTTGACAGCATAATATTCTTTAACTTCAGGCCTAATAGAATCAAAGTCTCCACTGATGAATTCAGGCAAAAAGCTGAAACAAAGAATTCCAAGTAAGTCAACTAATTAAGACTACTTGTTTGTTAACCTTTAAAACTATGCCAAGAGGATGTCTTATACTCTTGGTTTCTATATAGTGTGGTTACGACTCCACATACCCGACTAATTCATCAACTTAGTCACACTGTCAGTCAATGTTTATCCTGCTTTAAAAAATAAAGATTAAAGAAGATTATTGGTTTTAAAAACTCCCAGTTCAGGGACACCTGGGTGGCTCAGTCGGTTAAGCGTCTGCCTTCAGCTCAGGTCATGATCTTGGACTGCTGGGATGGAGCCCCACATTGGGCTCCCTGCTCTAGGAGTCTACTTCTCCCTCTCCCTCTGCCCTCCCCCCTGCTCATTCTCTCTCTCTCTCACTCACTCATTCTCACTCTCTCTCAAATAAATAAAATCTTTAAAAATAAATAAAATAAAAAACTCCTAGTTCAAAAACCCTAACACCAACACTCATAATCTTTCCATATTACTTTCTACATATATACAAACCTTTACATCATTTTGCCCTCACACAAGTTCAGAACTTCAACAAATTTGAACAGAACAGATGAGGAGGATGATTATGCATTCTCTGCAGAGCAGGAGTCAGTTCAAAGACATTTTCCAAATGCCCTGTTGACACTTCTAGAAACAGGAGGCTTCTCGACAGGTTTGAAATACTACAAGTCACGGTTACTAGGTAGAGGGAGAGAACTCCCCAAAACAAATGTTTCCAATTACATCATAATTATCTTATTTCTCTTCCCTACATTTATATTTTTTTAGAACTCTTCCAGAAAGCCTATCTTACTCTATGTACATAAGCCATCCTTTACTATTTTTACATAAAGCATTTGGATGACCCGGTAGAATTTCTTCCCACTTAAAACACCTAAGTGTGGAAAAATAAAACGTCCCTGGATTTCTCACTGCTCCTACAAAAAGCCTTAGCCCCCAGAGCCTCTGAAAAATACATTATGTAAAGAAGGGAATGTTTACCTTCATCCTTCAGAAATATTCTACTTTTCACATCCCATGAGAATTAGATCTGCACGCATTTATCCAGTTAATTGTTCTGATTCAAAAGAATAATAAAACTTCAATATGTCTTCTCAAGAGGGCCAAGTTGCTACATAATAGACTAGACCCCTAGCTAAAAGGAGACTAGAGCTTTAGTTTGCTGAGTATTTTATGTCAAAAGAGTTGAAGCCCCAGAACTTGGAGAAATCTCTAGGTCATAAAAGCCAAGACACAGAGGCTATCAGGCTCCTAGAGAGATTCTACTGCTATACCAGTGAGTTGGGGTTAGGATTCAGGGTCACAGAATTTAAACAGAGATTCTTGCAAGAGGGCAGAAGCTGCCACAACCCTCTTAATAAATTTAGGGGGAAAGTCCTATTTCCTCTTTTTCCACATATGCGGGGTGCAGCCTCAAGCACGGGACAATGGACCTCATGGTCACTGAAGGGCCAAAGAGTAAGAACTAGAGCAACGGGGACCGAGGTAATAAGAAACTGGACACAGAATACCTTATATGTGCACTCAGGATAAAATTAATAAAGATGAACATGAAAAACCCAACACTAACTCTGTTCTTTCATGCAATTTTTTTCAAGTTTTTAACTTAATTGGAAATATTACTTCTTAGGTCTAACCTAATTAACTAATCTGTGTTAGACTAACTCTTCTTTGAGCTGTATGTCCCGAAGACAAATGGTAAGAAGTTCTACTACAATGATCTGTACTGCATAAAGTGCTTAGATTTCATGGTTGGTTTCTTAACAAATGATGGTAACCTATTGAAATGTTTGGTAATTAATAAAATCTTACATTCACTGAATATCAACCATGTACAAAAGACAACAGTTTGTTTCAGAATAATGCAGAATTGGGAAGTACCTAAGTTTTAAAATCACTTGCCTGGTTTCAATTATCTTCCTGTAAACTTTTCTCCTCAAAACGTCCCTGGCCACATATCCATTACTTCTAATTTCATTTTATACCTATTCAGGTAAATACTTTTTACTCTATTCACATGAGGACTAAAAACAGACTATTAGCTCTTTCCTCATTGTTTTTCCTGTTGCAAAAATTCATGGATTTTTAAAGTTTCTTTAAAATACCTCCATCAAACAACATTCAAACACCCACAGAACAAAACTCATATAGAGCTCAGAATATTATTATTGCTTGCTAGGGTCTGAATGTTTGGTACCCCTAAAATGTGTATGTTGAAATCTTAACCCCTAACATGATGTTATTAGGTGGTGAGGCCTTTAGGAGGTGACTAAGTCAGAGGATGGAGCCTTCATGACTGGGATTAGCGTCCATGTAAAAGAAACCCCAGCTCTCTTGTCCCTTCCACCACATGAGAACACAGTGAGAAGACAAGCATCTATGAATGAGGGAGTAGATCTTATCTTACACTGAACCTTGATCTTGGACTTCCCAGCCTCCGCAACTGTGAGTAGTTAAGTACTTGTTGTTTACGAGCCACCCAGTCTATGGGATTCTTTAGAGCAGCCAGCGAGCATGAGGCATTGCTGCAAGGGGTAAAAGGAATCATTCCTTCAATATCCTCATTACCTTTTGTAAGGAACCGAAATCCAAGAAGTCAAGTGAATTTTGTATATATGGCTAGTATCCAATCTACTTCACCACGTAAAGCAGCCATTTAAACTTAGGACTCTGGTTCTGTACAGTATGAATCACCCAACTTCCTCATAAAACTGACTTTATATTACTCTACAAATTTTACTCCCTCAGATATCTAGAATCAACTTGCCAGTTTCCAAATATCATATTGATTTTGACAATAAATAAGAATGAAAAATAAAAACTGATACACACAGGCAACTAGGTGTCTGTCCCCTTAGGATATATACTTTTTAATTTGATCTCTTTTTATCAAATATATTGTGAATCATGAAGGAAAGCAATCATATAAATTTACTTGTATTTTCATATAAAATATTAACAGGAAAAGACATATTAATAAAAGATAACTTCGATTAACTTTTTAATATAATTTTCTCCAATATAACATACATGCTTTAAAATGAACAAGGAAAAAAATGAACAAGGATACTTATTTCTAGGAAGGCTCATGCCAAAAATACACCTGATACACAGGCTGAGACAGCTACAATAATTATAACTTTTTGTCATAGAATACAGCAGTTTTGAAACTTGCTGAAATGTGCTTTTGGACAGAGCAATTAAAAGCCCATCTCACATTTCTGAGGCATGGGCTGCCATGGTACTTGGGCATTCTGAAGAGGTACTTACTGGGGATGACACTTCCCAGATACAGAGATATGATGTTACCATATAGAGTTTACTCAGGAAGAATGTTTTCACAACTCTTTGGGGACTGATTGCTTATAGAAGGTGACTAAGGGTATATGGAATTCTGTCTCCACTGACAATACTTCTGTTCACTGTTGGCCTCGATCAGACCCGTACACTTCATCTTGGTATCTTCAGTCTATGGCACTAATTGGTTGGTATGTAAAGGTGTTCCAAACGCTCAATAAATGGTGTGGACTCCTTTGACTTTTACATTTAACTCTTACCATACTTGCCACTCACTAATGACAAAATAACAGTTCAACAGGAGCCGGGATTAATTAGTAAGCTGAAGATCCATCACATGTAATAGTCAAGAGGGAGGCTGATATATTTAGATAATATGCTTAAACATGATGTGTTAGCACCAAGTACACAAATGCTGGTTAAGAATACAATGAAGGGGCGCCTGGGTGGCTCAGTTGGTTGAGCGACTGCCTTCGGCTCAGGTCATGATCCTGGGGTCCTGGCATCGAGTCCCACATCGGGCTCCCAGCTCGGCGGGAAGCCTGCTTCTCCCTCTCCCACTCCCCCTGTTTGTGTTCCTTCTCTCGCTGTCTCTGTCTCTGTCAAATAAATAAATAAATAAAATCTTTAAAAAAAAAAAGAATACAATGAAGTAACAAGATAGAGGAGAAGGCGGTGGGTGGGAGGGGAGAGGAAATGAGAAGAGGATGGGGTAGAATGGGGAAAGGTGGTAGGAAAAGGGGGAGTAGGGAAAAATACTGAAGGGGAGGGGAGGCAATGGGGAGAGAGGAGAAGATAGGAAAATGGGAAAAGGGGAAGAGAAAGGCCAGGAGAAGGAAGGCAGGGGAAGATAAGAGTGAAAAAGAAGCATGAGGAAAGAAGCACTTATTACAAACTTCCCATTATGTCTGGCCCACTATTTCCTAGCTTGTCCAAATTATTGAACTTTTCTGAGCCTCACTTCTTCATATGTAAAATGAAGATAATTTAGAGTGGTTGTGAAGATTAAGAGTTAATCCATGGAAAGCACTTAGAAAATGCCTGGCACACAGTAAGAATGATTTAAAGCTCTTCAGCTAAAATAAAAGTTATTACTAGAGAAGCTAAGTAATGTGCCTGAGGTTACCAGGCTAATAAGAGCTAGAGCCAAAATTCAAACCCAGGGAGCCCAAGCTTTGTTCTTGGACAGCTACGTCTACAGCCTTTCACATATGCGCATTTATGAAATGGAGCCAGACTTTGTCATAGAGAAAGTTCTCTACACAACCACACGACTCCCCTGCAGATTTTATTAATCAGCATTAATTTGGTCAACCTGTATATTTTAAAAATGTATCACCGAAGCAGAAGAGGACAATTTGTGCTGCTTGCTAAAGTAAAGATGGGATTTGATTAAAGGAATAGGTTAGGAGAAGAATGTCTGAGAACACTGCTGAAAAAGAGTATGGCTATAGATACAAGGCAAAAAATGGTACTCTGTCTAAAGAAAGGAGGAATTAATCAAAGATTTGAACTAACATTCTCTGCAAAACTGCATAAATTAAATAAGGGAAGGGGGCAAAAAGGGGGGTGATCCAAAATATAATAAGGAAAAACGACTGTGTATATAGAAATAATTAGTTCAACTGTCTTCATAAATACATCTCTAAATGTAATAAAGGTGTCAACAGATATTTAAATATT